ATCGTTGTACATTCATAATCATCATGGGGCAGGACACAACGCGCGCTCGGGAAGCATTTCGTGGTGTCACACGAAACAAACTAGACAACCCGCGCTCGGGTCCCAGTGTCAGTTTGTTTCTCTCTTTGCCCATTGCCAACGCTTTGCTCGATACTGTATGATCAACTATGAGTCCTAAGGTAATGTCTAAAAAAGCCGCCGTGTTCGCTGTTCGCCAACTAAGCGAAGAAAAACATGCACATCATCGCTCGCTCCTCTCCCCATAAATGAGCAGCGTTTCGATTGATCCTACACACACACACACGTTTCGATGCCACGTGCGATCCGCCTGCCCCTCTCCCCGTCTCTCGCACCTGGCTGTCTGCAAAACATTCAACCCCTACAAAAACTCACGACATCAAATCCAATCCCCCCCCTTCTCCCGTCTGGCTGGTGCTACAATATAGTGATCGTGGTGAGTGGGTTCCTTTTTCTCCGCTCCGTTTTTCTTTTCCTGGAGGGAATATGGGAGGAGAAGCAGACTAGAAATGATGTACGTGCCTTGAGAACCGCGCAAAACAAAGCTAGCCTCCCCGCCCATGCCAGACCCACATCTGAAAATCAAGAGGAATTCGCACAAACCAGTAAATAAGCATTAAATCAGTCGAACCAGCGTTCGACTTTTTCTTTCTCCTTCTTTCTCCATGGAATGCTGAGGGAAGGGGAGGGGGGTACGAGGCAAAAAACAAACTTCTTTTTATGTACAGTAGACAGACTCCGCCCACGCCAACACAAAGCCAGACGCGACGAAACTCCGCTGTGCTACAAGCCCCCCAATGACTCCCCCCCCCCCCCACGCGGGATCGATCACCTTCAACAGCCTACAGGGGTCCCGCGGAAGTTGTATGCCAAGGCTGCCCGTTTCCACCTTTTAGCAGGACCCAACCCACCCCTTTGGTTCGCTCAAAACTCGAAGCGGATTTCATAGGTCGACCGTCACCAGCAAAGCCACACCGCTGCCCTTTTCTTGCAACCATACCTAATGAACGACAAACCCGGGGAGCCTAGGCAGAGAAAGGCAGCGGTTTGCGTGCTTCAAGTCCCAGGGCTAGCTTGGGCGGTAATTTACGTCAAACCCTCTCATTTTACTTTTCTGGGAAAACACGCTTCCCACAACAAACAAACCCCTCCCAAAACAACCAAACAAGCACTTCTTGCCCACATCATAAAAAAAGGACCTGTGCCTTGGGGGGGGTGGGGGGTGGGGGAAACGGGTGGGGGGGGGG